AATATTTATATTGTCATTTAAATGAGTATAAGCAACAGAGATGATGAATTATCGATCGATTGGTTTCGACCTAAATGCGGGACATATGCGCATTTTTACCAAAATACATATACAATAGTGATATAAGGCGGCATATCCCAGGTATTAAAGCTTAAAAAGACCGAAGCTGAACCAAACCATAGAATTAGCTCTATCTGGTGGCAATGACCCAGATGTTAGAATGACCCACCTCCAACACAAACATCTGGTTCATAGACAAAAAAGAACCACCTGCCAAATAGGGGTGGGCCATATGACTATTAGACAGGCTAATTTCCCCACACCTCAACTTATTTCATGAGAGATCGCATAAAATGAAAGCCTGTGAAGAGAGGGCCATCCACCAGGGGTGTTGAAAATAGCTAACTTAAAGCTTCTCTAAGGCCAACAAGAAGGGTATTCTTTGAATTATGGCCTTCAATAGCCATGCCAAATAAAGATCTTACTCAATCAGTTAATTGGGAAATCCCTTGACCAAATTTTAGCTAAGCTCTAAAACTTTGAAGGGTCTCACTGGTTAGTTTAGTGTAAGTCGGAATCAACATAAAGTGATAGTAAAGACATGCCAATCAAGACAATAAGGAAGTCTCAGGTTTGACTAAGCTGTCACTGCCAAGGTAGCCAATACAGAAAAAAGTCTCTAAGGCTTAAATCTTCAACTCAAATGAATATCAGAGACCCCGGTTCATCAGAAATAACGAACATCAAGGTTAATTTAAGCCAAATTAAAAATGGTGGCGGGGGGGGGGGGGGGGGGGTTGATTGAGGTACAGAATATCAGATTGCCATCACTTAAAGGACATTTCGTAAAAACAGCAGCCGAGGTTAGTAGCGTGCCTATACTAATGAACGAACATATTACGTACTCCGATTACAAAAATGTCGTCCGATTGAAGGAAGGTAATATCAACCTTGAGCTTAAATGAGATTAACCTAAATTTTATTTTACCTTATGTTGACCTGACCCCCATAAGGTCAGTGCTTGCGTCTTTGCATTAAGGCCAAGATGCGACCCTCGTTGCCCTTTGAGGTGATCGTCCTACGAGGACGAGAATTTTGAGATTATTATGCTAGAAAAAAGAGAAAAAGTGGTATTCTTAGGAAGTACTCTAGCTTACAATGCGTCGTCAACAGATTGCCCCCCCCCATCATGTAATTTATGCCTTTAGATTCTCCTCCAGGTGTGTCCATGGTTTGTGGAAGTTTCTTAAATGAAGTCGTAACTGCTAGTCGTCGTTAAAGTATAAAATGTTGAACGTCTTCTTGTTTGGGGAAAAATAATTAGCATCAGTAATACGTCTTCTCGGAGGAAACATTATAAAAACGTGCGTGACTGATTCTTATCTAATTGGATTAGTGCTGATATATGGAATTCAATTGGTGCTTCCGTACGGACTTCAGGTATTTGGTAATTTTGATTACTTGGATAAGAAAGAGTGAATCCAACTCAAAATTGTGCCATAATATTGATCAAAGGTAAATTGATTCAATTTTACTTCAGACGAGGAAATGGCTACTTCGAGTTAGTTCGACCATCTGATTGTAAGGAAAAAAATGAAGCGAATGCAAGAAAATTTTTTTCCTACCTAAGCTAATATGGAAGTCAAGTGAACTTTATGATTTAAATAGAAGGTATTAATAATGGCACTCATCTTCAGTTTCTAGATGGTTGAGTAGTTTACTGCTGATTCCATTCTCCTTATATTTCAATCTAGGCTGAGACAAAATGTTCAAATGCGCTTTAAAATGAATCAAATAAATTTTATGTGTGTGTGCGTGTGTGCGTATGCATAGATTTAACTCTCCTTAGTTAGCACTTTTCAAAAGACCATTAATGACGATAAAAATCAAATAAAGCAAATCAAGGTAATCATCGAGTGAAAACTCGTAATAAACAGGGAGATACTAATTAAGGCGTTTTAAGGAGGCAAAGTTTGAATGCGATGTTGTGTGGTTTTAAAATAAATGACGCAGAAATGGATGTTCTCGAAAAAAATTATGTGACGGCTGCTAAGCGAAGAATAGTTATTAACGCTAGAATAAAAAAAAACACGTTCGTTATTGTGCTAACATAGAAACAAATGTCTCAAACTGTACACGTTTTTTTAAGACCTGGTTATGTCAACAATTCACTCTGAGAGATCACTCTTTAGATAGTTTTTTTCTAAATACTTTTCCGAACTGTGTAGGAATTAGTTATATCCTTTTTTACAAATGACTGATTATAGTTTGTGTGGTCAAGTATTTAAGTATCCATCTAATAAAAGCCCAACTCCAGGCTATTAGTCATCGATTTTACTCGTTTGGCATGGTGATTTTGTCGGTTTTATCACTCACAAATCTGTTTAAAATAAGTTAGTTTTAAGGAGAGTCAGGATTTCCTTCTCACGCTCTCCCCATGTTCTCCATTCTCAATCTCACCCCCCCCCCCCCCCCCCCCCCCCCCCCCCCCCCCCCCCCNCCCCCCCCCCCCCCCCCCCCCCCCCCCTACCTGAACGCACTTTGACACATAATTCAATTAATCAATTCTATCAATTTATTTTGAAATTCTATTTGGTCATGACAGTCTCAGACTGACTTTTAGCTTAATATCCTCTTTAATGATCCATGGGATTAATTATTTCTCTGATGACGTATTGAGAATGGTACTTAGAACAGGTACGAAGTTCCTAATCCCTGTGATTACCAAAGAAGAATGATGATCTGTTCTGTTACTGTTAAGTGAAAAATATGCACTGATTCATACTACTACATTAGATTTCAGTAGGGCAGGGAGAGGTTTAATCTAAAATTAACCTCAGTTCATTTCACCTCGTTTTGGCCTAACTCCACAAAGGTCAGTGTTTTCGTCTCTTATTTAAGGCCAAAACGCGACCTTCGTTGCCCGATAAGGTGACCATCTTAAATGGACGAAAATTTTGAGGGTATTATGCAAGAAAAAGGAACTTTCACTATTGTACTATAAGCCTTAATACTAAGCGGAGTTGACGAATAATTGCAGACAATGCCTATTGTCAGGTTTCCTCATCAAAAGGTTGCTTCTTGTAGTTTGAATCTGTACAAACTGAGTTACAAACTCTGAATTACATGAAATTTCACCCAGAGGAAAATACGGATAGACTTTAAAACGGAATTTAGTATTACGCATAATTGACTCGTGAATGAATTCATGAGAAGGCAAGTTTAAATATTTTTAAAGCAATTAGACATATTTCAATTGATGCTAATGTTTCAACAATTGTCAAAACTAGGTCTAGCAATCAGAAAAGGGATTCAAATAATTGATTGTCGCTCTTTCTATTAATGTGAAAATAACCATAATTAAATAGTTGAGAAATTTCATTAGATTGCACATTTTAATAATCCAGTGCATATTTTAACAATGTTTTCAGTAGCACTGAAAAGCATGAAGATAGACCACACCCTTGATTGATGGAATAAGTTTCTCTTAGCTCTTTTCAGTTATATTATTGAAATAAAAATCATTTTGTAGTTGAGATAGAAAACACGTTATTCCCAAAACAATTTTTTTATAAATTACATTCATTACTGTGCATTCCTTAATTCTTATCTCTTAAATGACGGGGTGTGTGAGACTTACCTCCTAGTGGTGCACCCTGGGCAACGTATAATCATACGGCAAAAAAGTCTATTAACCGGCAGTTGACTTCTCACTTCAAACTACAATCAACCCCACTGTATGTCATATCCGACCCCTATCACAGTACTCATCTTACCCTTTCTGAGCCTTGTGTCTTTCTGTTTCCTTTACAACTGTGAATCACGTTTCTATTCCCCCTCCCGAATTCTTCTCACTTTGATATGCCTTCTCCCCTCTGTGAAGCCCGAAGTCAACTAAAGGGCTAATGATAACTACCAAAACGCCTGCCATTTGTTATAGATAAATCTCTTAAATGACCTTTGACTTGCGCTAATTTGTTCCCGGATGATATGATTGCTTATTTGTTGCATGTGTAAGAGCGATGAGGCATATCAATACGAAGGTAGAAATGATAGTCATTTCGGTCAATCTCTTTTTTTTCCTTGAGAAATTCAGTTCAACTTTTAGGAAAGAGGAGCATCTTTGCTACTAAATCGATTTTTTAAGTCTATTTAGGTAATTATGCAGCGAAAACGTGATGGATAAGGCGAGGCTCAAGAATATTTGTCCGGAATCTAAAAGCTGCTAAATGCGTAACTCTTATTCAATCGCATTGAACTATTTTATGTGTTTAATTGGTAAAAAAGTCTAGACGGTTTGATTGATGAAAGAGCTTACCAAGATAATGGCAGAATACTGAATGTTGACGTGAAAACGAAACTTGACGGACGCATTAACTTCAAGTTTGCGTATAACGATGTAGTAACTAAAAGTTTCCTTCGGTGAAGTAGGTAAGAATACCATCGAATTTGTATTTAAAAGCAGAGAGTGAATAATGCCAATTTTTCGAGAGGGACTATTGCGCTCTTTTGCTCACACTTTGAGCATTTTCAAGAGTCTTATGCCTTTCATTGAGTTCATATATAAGAATGGAGTGTGCGATAGACTTACCTCCACGTGGTGCACCCTGGGCAACGTATACTTATACGGCAAAAAAGTCTATAAGCCGGTAGTTGACTTCTGACTTCAAAGTTCCATCACCCCACTGTATGTCATATTCGACTACTTTCACAGTACTCACTTCACCTTTTTCTACCTTTTCTACCTTCGTCTTTGAAACACTTTTCTTTCCCCTTCCCTCTAGACTTTTTTTCACTTTGATGTTCCTTCCTCTCTGTAAAGCCTAAAGTCAAGTAAAGGGCTAATGATAGCCATCAAATCACCTGTCATTTGATATAAATAAATATTCAAGAATAAAGTGCTCGTTACCAGGACATGTTAATGGTTGCATAACTGTTGGACACAAGCANGGAGGTATAATTAAACAAGGAAATTAAATTTTAAATTAAGTGTGGAAGACTTACTTCGTAGTGAGGATTTCATGGTCCGTACACGCAGGAGCAAATACACCGCTAGAAAAAAAAATTAAAAAGAATAATACCTTGTTTTCCACTAAAATGAACTCTGAGAAAAGCCAAGAGACACGGCCAACTTTACTCACTGGACAGTATCAAGACTCTTCGCTATAGCTCTTCCAAGATTCTGGATGAAGGCCAGTTTGCTGTAGGATCCTCCTGTCAGTAGCAAAGCTCGACTCATTTGGAGTTGAGCCTCATCGAATAGACTCTGAATTATAAAGGTCGGTGCTGAAATGAAATCGGGGATCAAGGTCAAGGGGTTGGGATGCTCATCGTGAATGTATGCTTTCCTCTACCCGCAAATTAAGCATAATGACCCCATTAAAATGTCGCAATTATATTTTTCTAGCAGAATATAGTATTTCGAAATTGGAGTGTTCGATAGACTTACCTCCACGTGGTGCACCCTGGGCAACGTATACTCATACGGCAAAAAAGTCTATTAATCGGCAGTTGACTTCTGACTTCAAACTAGCATGACCCCACTGTATGTCATATTCGACCCCTTCACAGTACTCATCTTACCTTTTTCTCTACCTTTGTGTCTGTCTGCCTCTTTTACATCTGTGAATCGCACTTCTGCACCCCACCCCTCGACTTTCTGCTACTTTGATGCTCCTCCTTCTCTCTGTGAAGCCCGAAGTCAGCTAAATGGCTAATGGTAGCTATCATAACGCCTGCCACCATTTGAAATAAATATTATTTCGAAATTATTGATAATTAGGTACTTTCAGGGAGAAATATACGCTAAAACACGTCCGTCTCCACCATCTTTCATCTTTTGCCGAAATATTTTGACATTACGTGTGGTTTTGTACGTGTCCGAACTTCTGCTACATCGTGGATGGTGAAAAATTTGTAGACGACCTCATTTATAAGTAATTGCCAACAAAATTACCNACTTATACGGCAAAAAAGTCTATAAGCCGGTAGTTGACTTCTGA